TTTTCGAGTCGAGCCAAGTCTATGTTGTCGTTAAATAATCCGATAACTGTTTTAAATCATTGCCCGGATTTATTGGGTATCAAAAAACCCAACATCTTGCTCTCTTTCACATGCAATGACAAGGTAATTGAGCATTCTTTAAGATGTACATTAATTTTCTCCTTTGGTTCGCCTTACTTGACATGTAATTAGCGTTCATGGGGTCACTTCGGCTCTACCTAAACCAAGTTAAACCCACTAATGCCATTATAAACGGGATTTGTCACCTCTGTCTTGATTGGAATAGTTGAAAATTATTCTTCAACGGACTATGTACTTCTTTTGGAGCTATTTAATTTCATAAGCTTTATGAATCGAATTTTGTCTTCATATGAGCACTGACTCGTAGTTCACTAATCACTATTGAACCTATATGGAGAAACCATTACTTAAACGAGTATTAATCAATCTTGTATTTTTAATTTTACCGTGGAGGTCATATCTGTTGCAACTTTTGAAGAGAAATGAAGCTGTTTGGCTTCAAAAATCCATAAGCAAAATTTCTCTATAGAACATTTCAAGTCGAGTCATCATATATCAACAATTTTCTTGAGGATCACTTAGATCATATGAAATGAGGACACAATAGACGACGCATATATATTAGAATGTTTGGGAGATTGTTAAAACTAGTGTCATAGAGGATCGGTGGTGCAAGTGAGGGTGGCACTGGGAAAGGAGGGTGCGGTGAGTATTGCGTTGGGGTTGAGCTTTGTTCATTGGACAAGGGAGTTGTGGTGGGACAGGGAATGAGGGTCGGAGGGGAACCAAGATCATATGAAAATGTGTACTTAGGGACCATGCTGTGAAGATACATACATTGAGGGTGAAGTCAAAAGTCAATAGATTGGGGACAAATATTAAGATTTTTCCAAAATCAAAATGAACCTTTTTTGGGGCTTTTGCTGAAAAATTAAAACGTTTCTCGCTCCGTGTCTAGTTTCCTATGAATATTAGGGTTTTCCGTAGGATGGTTCGGTTCGATTTTGAAGAGAACCAAATCGA